TCTAGGTCAGATCCAGCATCCGAAGCAAGTGTGGTAGTGTCCATCCCTAGATGCATCATCCATGCAAGTTTGGTCCAGGTAGGGCTTATAGTTACTTGGGAATGGACCTGCTCCTAAAACTTTAACCTGGTCACTCATCTGGAAAATCTAGGTCAGATCCAGCATCCGAAGCAAGTGTGGTAGTGTCCATCCCTAGATGCATCATCCATGCAAGTTTGGTCCAGGTAGGGCTTATAGTTACTTGGGAATGGACCTGCTCCTAAAACTTTAACCTGGTCACTCATCTGGAAAATCTAGGTCAGATCCAGCATCCGAAGCAAGTGTGGTAGTGTCCATCCCTAGATGCATCATCCATGCAAGTTTGGTCCAGGTAGGGCTTATAGTTACTTGGGAATGGGACTTGCTCCTAAAACTTTAACCTGGGACGCCGACGCTAACGCCGACGCCGACGCCGACGCCGGGGGTATAGCATAAGCTCATCTCGACTTCGTCGAGGTGAGCTAAAAATAGTTTTAAACAAAATATCACAATTACAGTCTGGGGCCTTATGTCATGGTCCAAATGGAGCAGGGTTCGAATTGACCAGACACCGTCAAACATGCTAAATTCTTTTCAGTCAATTGAAGAACTATGAAGGATTTCATTTTATATAATATTTTTTCTAATTGCCAATGTCAAAGCGTTGTATTAGTGATTGCATCTAAACTACAACCAAGACTCTGTTCTGTTGCAATTACGATCAAGGTATGATCGGGCGTGGTGTACTGGGAAATGGAGGAAATGGAGAAATACAGTAATGCTGGTCAATATGATCGGTTTTTAGGATAGAGTTGGTTAGAAGTTTGTATAAGTAAAGCTAAAATTTAGAAATTCAATTTTTTTAGTCTTGTAGTATTCGTGTTTATGTAATTTTGTAATTATTTTACCTCCTGTTGTGTTGTTTATGTTACACGGTTATCGTTCCAAAATGTTTTTCATGTCATTCAACACACCCTTCTGTAGAAATTCATCCACAACAACCATCACATTTTTCTTGTGTGAGAATAAAACATCATATCGTTGTTTTGCAATGGAATAAATTGCAGATATAATTGATGCAATTTTATTTTCAAGCTATTATTCACTTTGAGCATTTTCAAAGAAATATGGTTTATAGCTATTGCTATTTTCTATTGCGGATGCATCGACTGACACATTCGGTCGCGTACATCCGGTCTCGATTTCAACTGGGCGCTTGCTAGATGACGTTCGAGCTCCAAGAGCTCGACGTCATAAAAATCTATGTCCCGTTTATACATAAATGTGTGCCACTGTCCTTATCAATTTAAACTGTTAACACACACTGCCATGCAGCAATAACCCTGTTTCCTTTTAATAAAATTCATATTTTTAAAAATTATTTTCAGTAGGATCCTTTAGTGAATCGTTATTTTCAGAGATAACTCTGAAGCAAAGCTATAGGAAGATCAATCTAATTAAAATTAGATGTTCCGAATCCGCTACCACTTCTCAAACATCTAACAACATCCCATTTGGGGTCACCTCAGAGCGACCTTTCGATTAGCCAATGAAATCGTTGTCTCTGAAATCTTGGCTTACAATTCGGATGCGTTTCATTTTTCACTGCCAAACTTAAACACCCGAGGAGTTTCGTAGTAAACAGAATATGGCATGGCTAAGGAATGTGATGGCGGGATATCTTGTATAGTTTGTGCATTCTCGTTTACGTTATTCAGGTAGGAATGCCAGATTGGCGGACTAAACATTCAATTTATACCAAAATTACTTTAATTCAACGTAAGACAGACTACTGAGCATCAATAATGTTAAGACGTAGCCATGGAACTAATTTTAGAATCGTACACAGAAGCTCGAATCTGATTGGCCAAGAAATTCATGTTTATTCATAATCGAAAGGTCGCTCTGACATGATCCCGAATGGGATGTTGTTAGATGTTTGAGAAGCGGTAGTGGATTCGGAACATCTAATTTTAATTAGATTGAAGGAAGATAGTTGCTACGAAACATACATATCTTGATCAGGATATAATGTGTTACTTATATTCTGTGAGTGAATAAATAATCTAATTTCCTAGAAAGAAGTTAACAAAGCTGTTAGACGTAGAGTGTATTTACCACGAGAGAAAACAGAATAATGAACCCAATTTTAAATGGACGGTATAATCTAGAAACGCTACCAAGGAATATTTGGAACGTAAATCAATGTCAGTCAAGTGCCTGGCAGAAATCAAATGTTCAATTTATTGTTTTATTTATAAATATATATTATTTATAAATATACATTTCTGTAAGAAAAATTCACTTGCCCGATCGGACAAGTACATCTGAAATTTCACTTGCCTGAACTGAGAATTTACTTGTCCTGGGCAATCGGACAACCGTTAATGCCGATCCCTGTACACAGGATAGAATGTCCTGTGTGGTCCATAAAACTTTCACATAGACTGACATTGCAATATCACAAGTTCTTTGACCAGTAGAACTAATTGAAGCACAAGAAAAAGAAAGTTGATAAACTACGTTCAAAATTTTGCTTTAGACCCTCCCAATTTTAATCTTTTCTTTGGAAAAACTTGTTTATAGCCAAAGAGAGCTTGAGCACTGAGAGCAAATATACACACCTTGACTCTGAGGTATCTATCAGACTGATGCCTAATAAATTTCTTTGTCCTCTTCTTGACACATGTCTGTTTTACAAGGGGTCGGATAGCCATTTTTGACTACCTGAAATAGAAAATTAATACAATGTCACGTACCAGTAAATTTACATCTATTTAACTCCATACAAAGAAATTTTGGCTCACAGAGAAATACTTTGAAATTTATTAAATGGCCACAACTTGGTCTTAGGATAAAACCAAAGGACCAATACTATGAATGGGACACCTTGTCCAATGCAATGCATTTGACTGTTTTTCTCTACAACCAAATGACCTTGCATCACAGCCCTTACAGATCCTTATTGTATGTCTGAGACATACTATTAAAATTAAGAGAAAGCATACAAGTTTTACTTTGCATCAGTCCCCTGGCAGAAAACTACATGGTTGAAAATGCTGTTAAAACTATAAAGGCTGCCAATGCATACAATTTGCAAGTATCCTTATAATCTATGGCCCTTCCCTGATTGATTCATACCTAGACTGTGAGATTTAACATCCATGAAAAATTTAAACAAGACAAATGAAAATCTGGGTTAACGAAAAATTTGTTCAATTTTTCAGGGATTTTCCACTGCCCCATGTAGGACCAAATTTAGGCCTCATTCCCAATTGCAAAATCCCTCCCTTTTCCACCAAAAATGAACTGTGTGATTAATTTTCAAATGCACAAAAACTAAAACAAGCTATTTTGAACCAGAATATGTGTAAAAACAAGCATGGTATTGGTCTTAAATCAATAAAATGACTAAAATTTTAAGAAACATGGTCCTGTTGATGACTGACAGTTTGTTAATGTAGATCTAATCTCTGATTAATAATTAATTAAACAAATTTAGTCATCATTTGTGTTTTTTCCTTAGAATTGTCTAAAGCCAATATAATTTTCCAGTGAGTAAGTTATCAAATGTAGTTAAATTCCCAATTCCAAGGGCTCAGGTCCCATTTCCAAAATGGAGTGAAAACTGTGTTTTCCCTAAGAACCGGCTACCAGCCAAATTGACCATTTCAATTGATAAAAATGCCACTTTGAAATAAAAAATATCAAATTTAATTGTTGTAAGGTCCACAGAGATTTGTCATAAACCTCAACCCAAAGCCTGTTACAATTGATCTCTAACCCTTTACTTTGAAATAAAGGGAAACACTTCAAAAAATCCCTTCTTTTTATAGTAAAGGGGTGGTCAAAAAGTAGGACCACTGTTGTTTAAAGGTTGGAATGCATATACATTTACAAATAGGTGAATGTTTACTGCAGTGCCTTTTCACTTCAAGAATAGTTTATAGATCTCCAGCATTCGTTTCTATACTAAAAGTTTAACACCCCCCCCCCAGTAGTATACTTATTCTTAGTTATCAAACTCCAATTTACATGGCATACAACCCTTCCAAAAATTGCAGTCATTTTTCGCTTTTTTAACAGTGGCTAATTAAACAATGAAGCGTAAAGCAGCGAGATTACTGTGATAACGAATAAACATTTCAATAATCCGAATTTTCTCTTACTACAAACACGAATTTTAAAGTTCACAATTAATTTTCAAACACCTCTCTTTGGTAATAACAGGTTTTGTTCTTAAAAGAAATACTATGTACATGTTAAAAACGACAATAACATACTTTCAACCAAATTTATTCTTGTTCAAATTAGGCCTACAGGATAAGCCGTTCTATGCTCCTACATCAACTGTCAATTTGATTAATATTTATCAACAGAAATGATAATTATACATATCTTCAGTTATTGAAGTTTACTTGCTATTCTCATTAGTCAGGTGTAAATGTTTTGATGTGCTTTTACACCAGTACGGTGATTATTAGGGATTTATAGAAAATAAATAAATATGCACCTTCGCTGTAAGATTTGACCGGAAAAAGGAAGTTTCTCGGGTACTGCTAAATACCATTTAGAGAAACAGACACTAGTTTTGGGTTAAGGAAAAAAAATAATTACAATAACTACTGTAAAGTTGTATAGGTAAATATTTAAAACAATATTTAAAATGTATTTCCATAAATTCGCATATAATTATAAATCTCAGCTTGTAAAACTCCACAAACTGTCCCTAAGTCTCTCGTATTTGTTGAAACCCTTTGTTATATAATAATTCTTATAGTAAAAGGTGCTAGACAGGTAACAAAAAGTGTTTCCTTTATATCTGTAATATACATATATAGAAATTTGTGTTAGGCACATATTTTCACGAAACACTGCGTAGATTTCTGTAGACTGATCAGCAAGACTCATCCCATTTTTTAGTGCTCTCAATTCAATTTCTGCGCACCTGCTTCGCGCATTTGGAACTGTATACTGTTTTGCTGCTACAAACAAGGGTCTAAAATCTATTCGTAATTATGAGAAGTTGTAATTTATAATGCATTGTATGCAAAGAGATTTTTATTTGCTGACTAGCAACAAGCTTGTTTATATTTGCTCAAATCTAAAGACGACCGCATAACCACAGAATAAGCTTTCAAAACAACATATAACATTTCTGTTTTCATTTTCTGTCAGCCAAGACGAAAGTGTGTCAAGCCTCGCTTTCGTTATCAATGGATGACTTCATATAAGAAGAGATCATGTGCAGTTTTTCAGGAAATAATTGTTTTGTTTGGAAATCCATCTGATAACTGTTCTCATTATAACGGAACTGATTTATTTTGGCGATCTTGACAATCGAGTCGAACATTGTCTGATTATAAACAAATCATTTACAGAACGAGCAAAAGAGAGAAAAACAAGAGTCCCTCAGATTATGAAGACGAATCTGTGAACATGAAACGTTAGAGTTGATATAATGATAAATCACTTATATCATTTGATTGTTGAAAACTGTTGATCGCTGTATTCAAGAGAATAACATAGATTAGCATGAGTTAATGTTTTGTCAAGAATTTTGTGGATTTTTAGCATACTATCACTTAGAATTGCTGCCATTTTTACAATTTTGAAAAAAAACGAAATTTCAGGAAATTTCCTGTTTATTTTGTTCACCAAGCTGCACAAGGAGGACAAATGTTAAAACTGAGAAGTTTCTTGTAACATGAATTGATAGATCGGCTCAGCCTGTCGCACCAATATTACTTTTTAAGTAACATTGACACGAGACTAAAATGATTCTTTTCACTCTGGTTGCATGGATCGAGAAACACAAACTGTTGATGTGTAGATGTGCATTCTCTCAGATTTTTGGGACAAAGTATGTCGCGTAGACCAAAACAAGGGAACTCGACAGCTGCAGCAAGAATGGCAAATCATGATTTAATGGAGAATCCTCCATATCTGGGAGCAGGGGGTGCTACAAATGTTGAATCAGATGACTATGCTAGAGACATGCTAGAGACTTGTATTGATGACACTGTTTCATTAAGTGATCCAAAAGAGGGAAGCAAACATGTGAGTATTTATCATTTTATTGGTGTCTTTTTAGAGAGAGGAGATGTGTAAAATTTTGGACACTTGATCAAAATCTTTCCAGCTTAAAAATCTGTGAGAGTATAGGAAAATTTGGGAGGCATTTAATGGATTATAAACAAGATATGCATGTTTATTTATACTTATTGGTATTATGTCTTTGTGTGCATGTGTAAATTACCAATGAAATATTAGTTTGAATCATATTTATGATATTGAATTCTATGAGAATTAATAGACAATGGTTGAACTTCGATATCTTGAACACTGATATCTTGAATACCATGGATATGTCAAAGTGATTTGGAAGTCCCAACCACTTATTCTTTCAGTATTTTACTCTTGATATCTTGAATTTTCAGATATCTTGAAGTTTTTCCTCGGTCCCGTTGAGTTCAAGATAAAGAGGTTTGACTGTATTTTAAACATGTTTTAACTTCAGTGATTTATATAATTGTTTATATGCAGGTTAAACAAACTTCAGATTTTAATGGAAGAAATGGGGTATATTATGGAGATGACATTCCTAGAAATGTTACACATAAACTTAGAATTTCCTCATTAGAAATAAGTTTTCTTCAAACCACCTCCAGTTTACCATAATTTTTTAAGAACCTCAAATATAATTTTTACTGTTTTCTACCTACGAAACCTTTTTAAACCCCAAATCTTGTGAACGCTATGACTGTGAGCTGTCTTAAAGTGGAGGAATACATGGAATTCCAATATTCACAGAAAAAATGAAAGACTGTGGACTGGAAGTATACTTATCAGAGATGATATGAAACCATTGAGAATTTTTTTTTTACTAAAGGACAGAAAATCTTGGACCTCAAATATCAGCAATGCTGGCTAGTAAAACTCATAAAGTTAGGGACCAACATGGCTCCTAAGGTTTTAAATGTTACTTGCAGCCCTGATTATGATGAAAGCTGCATGGTTGATGCATATGGGGATGCACAATTCTAGACTTGCTTCTGGATCTGACCTACATTTTTTAGATGAATGACCAGGTTAAAGTTTTTTTGATCTGGTTCATTCCCAGGTAACTATAAGCTAGATGAAGACCAAACATGCATGAGAGATTCCAGTAAGGATATCAGACATGCTTCAGATGCTGGATCTGACTGGCATTTTCCTGTTGAGTAACCAGGACAAAATTCTTGGAGCAGGTCCATTTCCAAGTAACTATAAGCCCTATGAAGACTAAATTTGCATGGATGATGTACCTAGGTATGCACAGTACCAGATTTGCTTCAGATCTGACCTTCATTTACCAGATTCCTATAGAGATGCTTACTAATGCAATTGGTTAAGTTCTTGTAGTGACTTAATTTTTATGTTTAATAAAAGGCATATTGTATGAACCAAATACCAAATACATGTATATGCAAATGGAATGGAATGGAATTTTTTACCCAGTTTGGAATTTTCAGGTATTCCTGAGAGACATCAGCATAAAGCAATTCTAATCTTCTGATTATAGAAAATAAACATATGCACGGACAACACCTATTTATAGTCAAAACTATTGATAAAATTATATTACTGAACATTCAGTTAAAGTATAAGATTTTGCCTTACTTATAGGTAACATTTATGGAGGTGAGCTTTGTATTCTTTGATTACTTGTTTAACGTGTGACTGTTGACTATTAAAATCACTTCACAATTGTGCTTTGCTACAACCATACCAGATACTTGTATTACTCACAGTGATTAAAAGATAAGTGCTGTGTGGTGTCATGTAGGAAATATTTAATACATGTACACTCAGTATGAAAGGCACTTTCGTTAGAAGTACATTAGGAACTACACACATGTACATTCTTCAGTATTACTGCATATATTTTTTTAAGAAAATGCATGACTTTCACTATACATTGCCGGAAAAACTCTTACTTTTACATTCTGTAAAATCATTTATTTTTGTGGGGTCAAATTTTTATGGTTCGATTTGTAGAGGACTTGAATTCATGAGTCACTTAGTACCATGAAAAAAAACAAAAATTAAACCCCTTGAAAATTGTTGATTTTAGAGTAGATATTTTTTTTTTTAGAAAAAAAAAATATAATATGTATACTCTACCAATAAATCATGTATACTGTAACAGTTGAACTTCGGTATCTTGAACACTGATGATATCTCGAATACCATGGATATGTTGAAGTGGTTTTTTGGAAGTCCCAACCACTTATTCTTAAAAAGTATTTTACACTGGATATCTCATATCCTTGGATATCTCAAAAGTTTTTTCTCGGCCCCATCGAGTGTGAGATAACAAGGTTTGACTTTTTGTCCAATTTCAAGCAGTGACTACATTTTAGTAATGTATATATTTATTTATTTTTGTTTTTTTTTCATTTTTGGTCAAAATAGATGTTTTTCCTATCCCCCATTCCAATGGCCTTGACCTTTGAAATGTGACTCGGTTTAGGCATGATACATCATTATGTCATGGGAAACAACTATTTGATTTGAGTTAATTCAAGCCTAAAGCATCCCAGAGTTTTGAGTTTGGTCAAAACATGTAGACAGAAAGTCAACAGAAACTCAGAAAGATGAACAGACAGAAAACCCTGAAAAAAAATAATGTCTGGAAAATTTAATATCTCCATAAAAGCAATGTTTGCCATAAATTGATAATATATACAATCCCTAGTTGTTTTCCTAGTGTAAACCTTCATATTAAAATCTTACATTTCATTTGTCATAACAATATGATGTCACGATAATATAATATGACATCACAGTGATGAACTATTTGAGAAAATGGATTGAAGAAAATGGGGGGGGGGGGGGTTAAATATTGCATGGTAAACAAGTGTAGATCAGTGTTATATGATAATTTCATGCATTGCACTTTCATGTTTATATGACATAGAGGGTGACCCACAAAAAGCAAAGCAAAAGATGATCATTTAATTTTAAAACAAAAAGTACAGAATTCATGCTTTCATTACCTATGTAAAGAGTCCTCTTGACTATTCTCTACTTTGAGGCTTTTGAATTTACATTGAATTTGATAGAAAACTTGTTTATTTGAGTGCACTTACTGACTTGGCTATTAGCCCTTGATCTGAAAAAGGGAAATGTGTAATAAGCATCACTATCAGTCAACCAATATAATAATATATATGTATGTCATTAAAGTTTAGACCAGATGCTGTCCTCTATTAGAATTATTGAAATGTAGCATGAAATATTGGCCAATTATCATAAAACTAGAACAGTTTAGAGATCAGTCATGATGTAATTTATAACGTATTGCAGAGATGAGAAGATTGTATCATATTTATGTGATTTGTAATCTTCAGGGGTCTGACATTTTTGGACAAAAAAAAATTCGAAAAATTACCATTACTAAAGTGTCTCTTTCTAATCTATTCAATGAAGATTTTTCATTATTGTGTGTTTTTTTGTGTGTGTGAGTTTGTTTTATTTTAACGACAATATAGCCAAAATACAAGTGTTTAGTTGACAGAAAACATCCAATTTACGGAGTATTTAGGATGGTTTAATTTTTAGTTATATTAATGATCTGTGTTTCATGTTTCAGGAAAAGAAAGGCAGTACTGCAATGATTGCAGATCAGAGGAAAGGAGTGGTAATCCAAGATAAGGGGGAACAACATAAGCCCCGTAAACCCAAACAACGCCAACACAAACCGGAGCTGGTGAGTCTTAAACTAGTGCCTTGTACCCTCTGCATTGTGGTCAGGTGCTTTGAAAATAAGAAAAAAATGAGAATTGATTTTGAATAGGGCTGTCACGGTTCCAAATTTTTTCGGATCAGGTCGGTTCTGTAAGTTTTCAGTTCGGTTTTGGGTTTTTCGGTTCGGTTATTTACCTCTATTTTAAACCTTAATTTCATGAATTTAACAAAAATTCTTGATTTGTTACGTTATACATGTATTCACCTTGAAAACAAATCCTATCCATGTTAATGTCTTGACATTGGTGTTCAGGACGACTAGGCTGAATACACAGCTAATTGTGCCACGTATGTGTAACGTGTGGTAGCACATACCATATGTTACACGCACATGAAACGTACGTAACACACACGTGTATTCCAACCGCATGTTACACATACGTGGTACAACGTATGGATAATGTGCGTGTGACAACATACGTTTCACATAACGTACGTGAAACGTGCGGTTGGAATACACGTATGTGTTATGTACGTTTCACGTACGTGTAACATATGGTATGTGCTACCACACGTTACACGTACGTTTATAAACGCATGGTTTACATGTGTATTGTCAACCACATGTTACACGTACGTTAATGAACGTGTGGTTTACATATGTATTGTCAACCATACGTTACACATACGTTAATAAACACATGGTTTATATGTGTATTATAAACCATACATTATACATATTTGATCTTGGTCTAAGTATAAAATCCCTCTTAAAACGGGACCCTAGATCATAGGTTGCATGGATTTTAATCATTATACCGTAATATATTTTTAAAAATTAAACTATTTTTTTTCAAAAAATAATATCATATCATGATCGATGGTTAAAACCCAATCACCTCTGAAAGCTCACAGGTGTGTGCGTTGTTGACTTGTTGTGCGTGTTTTGCGTCTTTAATGTTCCAATTTATTTCACATTGTTTACCTTACGTCCACTTGCATGTCTGACATGGAGTAATCAGTTCGCATTGATGTATAGTTTACTCTTAGAGCAGTAAAACATAGTCTACATACAACTTTACAAGTATACCAATCTCGTAATGTGTATATCGGATATCGGTAGAGGCACATAAAATTGAACTCGATCATCGGTAGATATAATCATTCCAAATTCAGGAGCAAAAGCTGAATTAAAAAATAAAGAAAATCACGATAATTTCACAACAAAACTCAAATGGAATTCACCTAAATAGATATTAAATAATTATACAGTAGGTAGCGTCCGCATAATACTAAAATATGTAAAATATACGTTCCGGAATTTTCACCGCCAATTATTATTTACGTTACTGGTGACGTCACTGGTAAGAAGTCTGATGTTTGCAAGACAGTGTCTGGAGGGCTAGTATAACGGTGAGGAATATATAACATCAACAGTTATTTAATTACTTTATATTTCAGACTGTGTTGCATGTAAACTAACGGGCGTGTTTCTTTTATTTTAGTGTATAACGTAATGTAAACTAAGTAAGAAAATATTGACGCAATCAGCTGTCTTGGTCAGCACTGGCACATTATATCAAAATTCAGGTGAGGTTTAAAACATACTGTTATAAAAAATATTTATTGTAACTGATTTTTTTTAGCCTACCAATAAGATGCAAATAAAACCCTTGATGGAAAAAGTTCCACCCTGAGTGACCCAATGTATTTCTTTACAAAACATGTAGAGGAAATATAAATTATCTTTTAGGGCAATCAGGGTGTAACACTTATTTTTCAGATGTCTTTTTCATACAGTCCTTATGAATATAAATAATGTATTTTGAGATTGTGATTTTTTTTATGTGATTTTAAATGTGCACTCCAGGATGGTGGCTGAAGCTCTGACGTCTCCTATATAAACACCTATAAATGCCAAGTCTGGGCTTCAAAAACAGATTCTGAAAGTTTAACCAGCATTATGGTAATACTCTTTAAAAAGAAATCAGATTTTCTGATCCCATTGCTTTTAAACTTGCAATTACATATATCATGTAATGATGTGCATTACATTTCAATCACAAGAGGAGAAAATGTTAAATGTTATTAGTAAAATAAGTAATTTTTCATCTTGTTTGTTTTGCTTTACAAGTCTGAAATGCATATTTTTTTTTATCTCAAGGACAAAAAGTATACACTTTGAACAGACACAAAAACATATAGGTCCATGCCAAGCTATGAAAGATTAATGCTGAGGGTAAGTTCTATTATTATTATTATATAGAATTTAATTGTCAGACATATGGTTATGTCTAAAATTTTACAGTTGTATTTATATCTGTGATAAGCAATATTTGCACCTGCATGAGCTCACTTACATGTAAATCACAAAAAAAAAAAAAAAAGAAAAAAAAAAAAAAGAAAAAAATGTTTTTAACTAATTAGGTAACCTGAGTCAGCCATGACCTATTGCTATCTGTTTTTAGCTCACCTGAGCTGAAAGCTCAAGTGAGCTTTTCTGATCACATTTTGTCTGTAGTCTGTCTGTCTAGCTGTCCGTCTGTCTGTAAACTTTTCACATTTTCGACTTCTTCTCCAGAACCACTGGCCCTATTTCAACCAAACTTGCCAGAAACCATTCTTGGGTAAAGGGGATTCAAGTTTGTTCAAATAAAGGGCCACACCCTCATTAAAGGGGAGATAATTAAGAAATAGTGAAAATTTAGTGGGATGTTTTAAAAATCTTCTTCTCAAGAACCACTGGACCAAAAAAAGTTGAAACTTATAGGAAACCTTGTATGTCAAAGTGTAAATTCAAATTTGTTTAAATCATGAGCCCCGGGGGTAGGTTGGGGCCACAATGGGGGATCAAAGTTTTACATAGGAATATATAAGAAAAAATCTTTAAGAATCTTCTTCTCAAGAGCAGCAAAGCCTTGTTTAGTCATATTGATAAGGAAGCATCATCAGGTAGTGTAGATTCAAGTTTGTTCAAATCATGACCCCCAGGGGTAGGGAGGGGCCAGAATGGGGGATCAATATTTTACATAGGAATACATAGGAAAAAACTTCTTCTCAAGAATAGGAAAGCCATGAATAGTCATTTTGAAATGGAAGCATCCTCAGGTTGTGTCAATTCAAGTTTGTTGAAATCATGATCCCCTGGGGATAGGGTTGGACCATAATGGGGGATCAAAGTTTTACATAAGAATATATAGGAAAAAATCTTCTTCTCAAGAACAGAAAAGCCATGATTAGTCATGTTAACATGGAAGCATCATCAGGTAGTGTAGATTCAATTTTGTTCAAATCATGAACCTCAGGGGTAGGGAGGGGCCACAATTGGGGATCAAGTTTTGTATCGCATCTGTGGTTGAATGGAAACAAAAATAGTGAATTTCATGGTCCCTGCTCCCCCTGGGGCCTAAGGGATGGAGCTAAAACCATCAAGATTAATGCAAAATTAATGCAATTTCTTTAAACCTGGACATCAAGAAAAAACTGTTAGCATGATTGTAATAAGCATTGAGTCTTCTACTAAAATTATGAAATTCATGGCCCCAGGGTAATTTAAGTGATTCAGGTGTTAGGGTAAGGCTTCATTGATCATATAGTGTTATTATATAGTGTTATTATGTATCGATTCATTGAAAATCTATATAATGCTCCTCCTGAGTTTAAAGCAAACAAACTAATTTCATAACTATGATGAACAAGTGAGTTCACTTGCAATACTTCAATTTTAAATTTGTCAAGTAGAGAATTATAAGGTAGATACTTGAGGATTGTGAAAAGTCTAGTTTAAATGACTAAGATTATTAATATTAAAAAAAATGTAGTTATTCGACTCTATATTTTAGTTCTATAGGGAATCAACCAGGAGTTATATGTGGAAAATAATATCGATCAAAAAATTGTGTTTTTCCTTATGCAAATTCATTTAATATTTTCTTTTTCTTTACAGATAAAAGAGAAATGCAGAAGAATAGATTGATGTTAAAAAATTCAACATTAAATTTGGCTTAGATTTGAATATGTCTTTTGTTGTGATTGCCTTAAGAGCAATAAGGATCAGGAAATTTGAGGTGAAGGATATCCAAATATGTACCTTCAAAATGTGGATCATTCAACAGATGAAAAGAAAATAAGCCTTTGAAGAAAATTATGTCAAATGCATGAATTGAATCATTTTTGTTTAACCTTTGTTTACAGTATGTGAAAAAAAAAGTTCAATGTATGGAACTTATACATATATCATATGAGCAGTTTATTTAACAAACGCGTTAAACGCATGTTTCTTAAAACATGCATTACACACACGTTGCACACATACGTTATTCATACGTGAACCGTATGAATAACCTACGTGTGCAACGTGTGTGTAACGTATGGTAGTCAATACGTATGTTTAACGTATGTGTCACGCATGATATTCATACGTGTGAAATCGTACGTTTAACGTACGTGGTGCTTTTTTCATGTGATACGTACGAGAAGTCGCATACGTATCACATACGTTTAACGTACGTGATACGTACGTGGCACATTTTGCTGTGTATTAGCTACAGTCTGACCATTCTTCCTTGATTTGATAGTTATCTAATCCTTTCGTGACAAGTGTTTTGTCATGGAATGAAGTACAATTCAGCTGTGATGTTTATTTATCTGTGATGTTTGTTTATCACTGTTATTGTCATCATTCTTTTGAGTTCAATGCCATTTTTTGTGTAAAACATATTCTAATATATAAACCAGACCCGGACCGAAATCTGGAAAAATGGAACTGGAACCAAACAACTTGGACCGCGGTTTTTGGATATTTCTGGGAACCGTGACAGCCCTAATTTTGATCATAAGAAAATTACAAGTACAGTAAAAACTGTCTAATCTGACATTTATGCAGTTTGTTTCACTGTGAATTACAATATTTTCATTCCCACTTTGCTATATTCAATGATCTTTACACTGCAATCCGAAACCCTGTTCATTTGTATCCCATTGCATGTCGGAATAAACAGGTTTTTTTACTGTATTTTTTATTCACCTTGAAAGCCCATTAAATTAGCAAAATGTTTTTTAATTGTTCGTTATATGAATATTAGGAATTACGAATATAGCGAAATAACACAGGTCCCCAGGACTTTGCGATAATTTAGTTTTACTGTATTGGATTACTACAGCATGCTAGAGGTTCACTATGAGAAACTTTTAACTTGGCGCTGAGGTATATATATAAGAGGTAAAGGGACATATAAGCAATGCACAGCAATTTAAATTAAAGGATTTCCTGATAAACTATTTATTAAATTTAAATTGTAGGATGTGGCTAAAGAATTCAAAAAGTGCAAAGAAGAGGAAGCAACTCGTTTGGATCTTAGCAAATCCCAGGTGACATTCTATATATTACTAGTATGCCAAGCTCTTACAATGATATTCTCAAGTGCTCTTCTAAATTAAAAATGACTAATCTGAAGAATGATACAGAGAGTTTATATTATGATCCATTTTTGTCGACCGCATTTTTGTCTGCATGCATAAATTTGCAGTCATAAGCTGTCATACAGGGATTCTTTTATTCAAAATGCTTCAATATGATATTCATATTCATGCGAAGAATCAAAACAGATATTGTTTTATTTTTTCCAAACTTCGTGATGTCAAAGCTGTGTGATTACTTAGCTTTCTACAAATTCTTGACAAAAATTGTGATTTATTTTTTTTTTTAAAGTTGGTCTTGAAAGTTGATATGTCCCCCACTTTCACTAAAAGTGGGGGGATAGTAATTTTGATCTGTATCCATCCATCTATCCATCTGTCTGTCATACTCACTGTGAAACACTTTTGTTTCCAGATTACATCTCAAGAAACCTTTGGGCTTTTGCAATGAAATTTTATACCACAAACTCCCTATGGCCTAAAGAAGGCTCATATTGATTTTGAGGTCAAAGGTGAAGGTCATAAATTCATACATTCTGTTTGTGTGTAACACTTTTGTTATTTTAAAAAGCCTTTGAGCTTTACTTAAAGAAGAACCCTTTTGATTTTGAGGTCAAAAGGTCAAGGTCAGAATTTTTTACATTGCAAATAATATTACCAAGATAACCGAAGCTTTTATTGTGCTTTCTATTAAATGTTATTTGACATCAGAACTTCCTCTGGCCTAAAGAAGACTCCTATTAATTTTGAGGTCAAAAGGTCAAGGTCATAAATTTTACATTCTGTTTGTGTGTACCATTTTCATTTCCTTTGCGTTTTTGCAATGAAATTTTATATTACAGCTCCTTTTGCCTAAAGAAGACCCCTTTGAAATTTTTTCAATAAAATTTAATATCACAACTCCTCATAAAGAAGTCCCCTTTTGATTTTTTAGGTGAAAAGGGAAAGGTGAGACATTCATACATTCTGTTTGTATGGAACACTTTCGTTTCCAGACTGTATCTTTAAAAGTCTTTGAGATTTTCCAATGAAATTTTATATCACAGCTCCCTTTACAAGACCCCTATTGATAGTGAGGTCAAAAGGTGAAAGGTCAAGTTCAGAAGTATTTATTGCATAGTTATACATAGTTTTCAGATGTGTGGGTAGCATTAAAATGCCTGCTATGATATGAAATATTTACTATATGATGTGCTGTAATAATTCTAATCATACAATATTTCTTCTAGATTACTGTGATACCAAATACAGTTAAAGACGTGAGTTACTAATTTTCTTTTAGTAAAGTTTTATCCCAAGATGGCATTAAATGACTATCATAGGTCACATGTATTTTTTATTATAGAGTGAAGTAAAGCTACTTTTTCATTCAAATGAACTTCTGTATAAAAGCATTTATGTTGCTATTAAAAAATTATGTGTGCTTGCATTAAATGATTTATTTTTCTTTAAACATGTAGTTGTCACAGTTACAAGAATTTTACCTGTATGGGAATAAGCTGGCCACATTGCCCCCGGAGATTGGAGCTTTGACAAATTTGACGAAGCTGGGATTAAGTGAAAACTCGTTAACTACCCTTCCAGACACTCTTCAAAATCTCAAGCATCTCCGAGTGCTGGATCTACGACACAACAGACTCAATGAGGTCAGATTTTGTATTATTGGTGAAATGTGTTGATCTTATTGTAAAAAAAAAAATGTTTGGTAGACAGGCTGTGAAGAAGAACAATGACAAGAAATCAGAAATATTTATTAGCATTCTAAATATTTATTAGTATTCTGACAGGAAAAATAAAAGAAAAATATTGTGTTTAACAGTAATTTGTACAAAGATATGTGTACTTTCAGCAAATTTGATAAAATTGGTAATATTATTTCTTTAACAGGAATTGAAATTTTCTCATGAATGAATTTCTTACAGATTCCAGAAGTGGTGTATAATCTTAGATCCTTAACAACGCTTTTTCTTCGATTTAATCGAATCAAGCATGTGGAGGAAGCCATTAGAAATTTAACAGTAAGTTTTTTTTGCAAGTTTTAATCCCGTTTTTACAAGAATTCAGGAGTCAGAAGAAGGTGGCCAGTAAAAAATGGAATCAAACCTTGATGAAATCGACATGAAAGAAATTTGAGAAGAGCTTGTAAAAATACTAAATCAGTTGTAGAAAATAGTAAATAATCACAAGGTTGTTATGGAAATTTGTATGAATGATAAGTCAATAAAAGTGGAAAATTAATTTTCTAGGACCTCTGTTGGAAAATATTATTTGAAAAATGTTTATCATTGTTTGCAACTGTAAAAAGTGTGGACAAGTTATGAAAACTTATTGAAGGTACAATGAATGATCAATTTTTTAAAAGGATTCTGTATGAATGATAAGTCAATAAAAGTGGAAAATTAATTTTCTAGGACCCCTGTTGGAAAATATTATTTGAAAAATGTTTATCATTGTTTGCAACTGTTAAAAGTGTGGACAAGTCATGAAAACTTATTGAAGGTACAATGAATGATCATTTTTTTAAAAGGATTCTATTCATTAATTTTGTAGAAACTTACCATATTTAGCTTGCGAGAAAATAAGATATCTAAATTGCCACAAGGTATTGGCCAGCTTGTGAATTTGCTCACATTCGACATTTCCCACAATCATCTGGAACACTTACCTGAAGGTTAGAATTTTAAAACAATGTATTTGAGAGAAAGATGTTCTTTTATACTCAATGATTTATGAGTTTTGTGTATTAAGAAAGTAAAATATGATGACCACATAATGGTTTTTTTCAGAGATTGGAAACTGTGTGATGCTAAATTCCTTAGATCTACAGCACAATGAACTCTTAGACATACCGGAATCTATTGGAAACCTCAAGTCACTTTCCAGACTTGGACTGAGGTATGAGAAAAAGAACATTGGCAACATTACAGGTCTGGAGTTTATAATCTTAGACATTCAAGTGAATAACTACCGTATGTGCATGTTGTTGCCTGTAAGCTTGAATATTTTCAACTTCTTCAAAACCACACTGAATCTTATTCATCAAAATTTTCATTAACGTCTCGAGATCTCATTATGAAGGTGGTGTGTTTATTATCGTAAGCCCGTCTTAAGATTAATTACTAGTCAGGATGATAATGTAAGTTGAGGATACTTCTGTTGTGTTATTCCTGCAGGTGACCTTCTGTGTTAGATAAAAGATTATCCTATGTTATATATGGCTAAAAAATAATACTGGTAAGAGGTATAACAGGTTATCCTTTGTTATATGTTATAAGATTACACTCTGTTCACAGGTTATCCTTTTTTTTGTCTGAAACAATGCACTCCATTGACAGGTATAACAGGTTAACGAGCATCCCAAAGAGCCTGGCTAACTGTGTCATTATGGAGGAGTTCAACGTCGAAGGAAATAATATTGGACAGCTTCCCGTAAGTAAATGATTTAGATAAGATATAATGTAGATATTGACATTTAATTCACATATTGGAAATCATTAAGTGTAATATGATAGAAATATACATCAATAATTAAATAAGTATATAAGTCTCTGCTTTCATGTTGTAGGAGGGACTGTTATCTAGTTTGACTGGCTTACGCTACATTACGCTGTCCAGAAATGCATTTCAGTCATACCCAAGTGGAGGCCCAGCACAATTTTGTTCTGTTTATGTAAGATAAAGTAATATATACAAAATATATCTGATTATGATATAAGTTGATGCTAGCAAACAGTTTTGATTGTTGTGTATTAATTATTCATTATATAGAATTTTTTTTTTTAATTTCATAGAATCTCAACATGGAACACAATCAGATCAATAAAATTCCACTTGGGATCTTCTCCCGAGCATCAAGTCTGACAAAGCTTAATATGAAAGATAATCAGCTGACATTCTTGCCATTAGGTAAGTCACAGGTTATAAGACCTGGCAGGGATAGACATCAACTTACAGATTCACTTGCCCTTTGGGCAAGTGAACTCAAACTTTCACTAGTCCGAATACAAAACTTGGTTGCCCAAAATTTAGAAAGAAGGGAAACCGATAACTTAATTTATTATTGTAAATAAAGTGAGATATTTTTTTTTTTATATTTGGCAAGTTAAGTGCCAGAAAAATATCTTGATGTGCAGGTGATGCTACATTTTAAATACTTGTAAACTCACACTGCCATGCAGCAATATCTCCTTTTAAATAAAATTCATATTTTTGAAAATTATTTTCTTAATGATCTTTTTGTGAATTTAGATTTTTCCCCCCTGAAAAACTGAAGCCACGCTAAAGAAAAACATTGGCCATGTTTTAAAACATAAATATCCTAATCAGAATACATCGTGTGCCGAGAATAACTGGTTTTCTTTATGTTTTGTGAGTAAATAAGTGAGCTATTTTTAAATATCATATTTCATAATAAGAATGTTAAGAAGTCAGTTTTGTCAACTACCCAGAAAGAAAAATGGAATAACGAACCCGATTTTTGAATAAACGGCGCTACCGAGGAATTTCCGACTACAAAAAGAATGTCATATATTCCTGGTAGAAATCAAATGTTCAAATTATTGTTTTGTTTATAAACTAATGTAAGATTTAAAAAATATATCAAATATTCACTTGCCCGATCGGACAAGTACATCAGCAGTTTCACTTGCCCGTACTGAGAATTTACTTGCCCCGAGCAATCGGACAACCGTTAATGTCGATCCCTGCCTGGTGTGTAGGATCACTAGGTAAATCCTCCTGACAGGTTATGGTCTTGCGACAGGTTACAAGGCATGGTGTGTAGGATCACTTGGTAAATCTTCCTGACACGTTATAAGGGTTGGTGAGTTTGATCACAAGGTTTTAAGTAAATCCTCAGGACAGGTTATAAGTCCTGGTTTAGGGCTTGTGACAGGTTATAAGGCATGGTGTTTTAGAACACTAGGTAAATCCTCATGACAGGTAATAATGCCTGGTATGTAAGATGACTAGTAGGTAAATCCTCATGACAGGTAATAAGGCCTGGTATGTAAGATGACTAGTAGGTAAATCCTCATGACAGGTAATAAGGCCTGGTATGTAAGATGACTAGTAGGTAAATCCTCATGACAGGTAATAAGGCCTGATATGTAGGATGACTAGTAGGTAAATCCTCATGACAGGTAATAAGGCCTGGTTTGTAGGATGACTAGTAGGTAACTCCTCATGACAGGTAATAAGGCCTGGTATGTAAGATGACTGGTAGGTAAATCCTCATGACAGGTAATAAGGCCTGGTATGTAAGATGACTAGTAGGTAAATCCTCATGACAGGTAATAAGGCCTGGTATGTAGGATGACTAGTAGGTAAATCCTCATGACAGGTAATAAGGCCTGGTATGTAAGATGACTAGTAGGTAAATCCTCATGACAGGTAATAAGGCCTGGTATGTAGGATGACTAGTAGGTAAATCCTCATGACAGGTAATAAGGCCTGGTTTGTAGGATCACAAGATAAATCCTCATGACAGGTAATAAGGCCTGGTTTGTAGGATCACAAGATAAATCCTCATGACAGGTAATAAGGCCTGGTTTGTAGGATCACAAGATAAATCCTCATGACAGGTAATAAGGCCTGGTTTGTAGGATCACAAGATAAATCCTCATGACAGGTTATAAGGCCTGGGGGTAGGCCTTTTGACAGGTTATAGGGTTTTGCCGTGTAGGATTATAAAGTTAGTCTTAGTGACAGATTATAAGCCTGGTGTTTAGGATCCATTGGTTTAAGTGTTCATTTGTTTGATTCATTGGTCATCTAAATCATTTATATGACTACACCTTGGATAAGTGTTAAGTTTTAAGACCTGTAATATATGATCTCCTTAGTAATTGTTTTATTTATGGGACTTGTAGTGTCCTTTGGGTAAATTTTTCTTGTGGCCAGCTTTTTCAGGTCCATAGGAAAAAAGTTACATTTATGGGACTTGTCAAATTTATCAAAAAAATATATATATTCAGTTATTATTAATTCACTTGGAGCCAGAGGTTCAGTGAAGCTTTTCTGCACAGTTTTTCTTTCATGTGTTCTTCCTTTTTAAATTTGTTTCTAGTGACACATATGTCATGGAACACTAGTGATACTATATATATAATAGAATGCATTTTAAGATACTCTGAATTTATTGCTTTGAAATGAGTAACTTTTGTCTTAGATAAGTTTGTAATGAAATTTCTGTTCGGTTTCTGTTTTTAGGTCACCTTAGTCACTCTGGTGACCTATTGCTGTGTGTTTTTATCTGTCACCATGCAGGGTGCATTCTGCATAAGCCTTTCACATTTTCAACTTCTTAAGAATCACTTGACCAATTTCAGTCAAACTCTTCTGTAAATGATTAATTATATTTGACTTTTATGTATATTAACAGATATTGGTAGCTGGTCCAATATGACAGAATTAAACTTGGGAACAAATCAGCTGACACGAGTTCCAGAAGATATACAAAATTTAGAAAAATTAGAGGTCCTTATTCTTAGTAATAACTTATTAAAGGTATGTAACCATTTAAACAAACACAGGTATATTATTCTATGGCTTTGTTTTACAACATGAGAATTGATTGCTGAATTACACCCTCAAAAATTACTTTTGATACTTCTCAAACACTGTTACCTCCTTCAAACAAATGACACATACGTATTTATCTTAAATTATTTGTAAACTTGATTTCTTTAGCGTCTACCATCCAGCATTGGAAATCTAAAGAAACTGAGAGTGCTTGATTTGGAAGAAAACAAACTAGAATCACTACCTCAAGAAATAGGTAACATTTAATGAATGATCATGATCTTTTTTTCCCCTGTAATTTAAAAAAGAAAACTGATCTTTTTTCTTTTTTTTTTTCATATACTGAACTTTTATGTTTTCTCAAAAAAAGCATATTCTGACAAAAACATCTAAAATACTAAAGCTGCAGATATAAACATATACTAGAAATCTTGGATGTAACATGCAGGAATGTGGATAAAAAATTTGTATGTCCTGTTAATTTACAGGACAGTTACAGGAGCTGACACGACTCGTTGTCCAGTCAAATCAACTGACCAGTCTGCCTCGTGCCATCGGGTAAATGTCCTCTATACTTATAAACATCTTTATCCTTTCAAGAAAACTTGGGTTAAAGTTTTGACCATGTCTAGATACATTCTGCAAATATTATTTGATTTTGATCATTTGTTGTTTTTGTGTCATTTCAATGAAACAATGTATGGTACATGTACATCTAGATGAATAATTCTTGTGTGATTTTTCTTAGATGCCTGTCCAAACTAGAATACCTTGGTGCTGGGGAAAATAATTTGACATCTCTTCCTGCTGAAATAGGTATACATTGTTTAACATACAACTCTACTGTTCTGAAGTTTGAAGAAGATTGAAAAAGTTAATTCAAGCTGAATTTCATTCTGACAATAATTCCTCTTTGTTTGACCACATGATGTATGAAAGTACTCTAGATGTGTAGATTGTAGTTGAGGAATCCTCACACACTAGTCGTATGACCATGTTTTTAGGTGGAGAGTCTGAAATCTCTCTACAATACATGTATTGATTGTATGACCACATGTTTTAGGAACGTTGGAGAATCTGGAATCTCTATACATCAACGACAACCAGGAGCTCCATAGCCTTCCCTATGAACTGGTTCTCTGCAGCAATCTTCAAATCATGAGCATAGAAAACTGCCCTCTTAGTCAGATTCCACCAGAAATTGTTGCCAAAGGACCTTCTCTTGTTATCCAGGTGACTGTCTACATCTATAAAGCTATTCATCTTTTGCAAGATATTGTATTATGTATTATCACCAAAATTTGCATTAATGGTCAATTTTATCATTCAATCAATTCTTCACAGTTGAAATTAAAGAAAATTTCAAAGTAAAATTTTCCAAATTTAATCTTAAGTATTTTTAGGGGAAAAACATCCCACAAAAGATAAAAAAAAAATTCAGATTTTTTTTTCTAATGTACTTTTATTTTAAATTTCAGTATTTACGAATTCAAAGTCCATTTTGTCCAATATGACTACCGAGTCATGTCCCTCATTTTCTCATCGTCCAGTTATAAACGGGAGGTGTTGGCTTCATCTTCATGTTGACGGAAGTGGAAGGTTGGTCGTTTTAGTCACATGTTGACAATGGAAATCCAGCTGACAATCACGACAGATGTCAATTCTTTTGAGATGTTGAGATGACCGAAGTAAAGACAAATATCTCCGTGGAGCCGTATGGGAAATTCAATTGACTGGTTTTTGTTCTTGCTTTTAATTCAAATGAGAATGCTTCCAAGTCATCCTGGCATACCCAATATAGATGTAATCAAATCATTTGCCTGATTCCATGCCGTTACAAGAGCAATTCAGCATTTCCTTACAATTTTATGTCATTTTTGTTTTTAGGCATAATAAACAATTTTTGTACACATTGAACTGTTTAATGCCATTGGACTATATATTAATTTTTGTCACTACAGGATGTTTGTTTATTTTAGTGTGTGTTCTAGAAGTCATGTTCATATTACTGTGATAAATTATGGCTACGTTAAAGGAGAACGTTACAAGTTTATATTCTTGTCTGTAGCTTGTGTCTGAATATTTTACTATTTTACAGATTTAGTCATTCATAGTATATTGTTCTTCAGACTAAGACCATTAAGAGGGTTGAATATAGCAGTAACTTCCTCCTGTTTAAAAACCCTCACAACACAGTTGTAAAGGGTATTCCAGAATCACTAGGTCTGTCAGTATATGACCATCCATCTGTCTATATTTTTTTGGCCCACCTTATCTGGTATTCAAACCAAACTTGCACCTATTGCATATCTAGAGATGCTTCAGAATCTGGCCTTCTTTTTATGTTTCAGTGATTCTGGTTAAAGTCAGCAGGTCTGTTTCCAGCCTGGCACACCATAGGGCCATAATTAAAAAAATTTTGTTTGATGTAATCTGACCCATATTTTTCAAGTTAAATAGGTTGGTTTTTTTTTCTTCGATTTATCTAGTAACGCATTGATATTGTATATTTACACATTTATTAAGGGACTCCATGATTCTTACTAAAACTTCATTGAGGTACTTGTAGTTTAGATGTTTGCAAGTTGCAGCCATAAAGAAAAAGTTTAAAAACAATTCTGTCAATCTGTATTTTCCCAAAAGGAAGGGAAAAAAAGAATTCAAAAATTAAAGTACTGAAAAAATTATCAGGTGGGGCAGTTTTGATCGATCAGTAGGAACACATCAAACAAAATGTCTTTTATTCATGGCTTAGTATCCAGACCATACTTTAAGGTGGTGCAGTCCTGTCTGACTGGGATGTGCATTCTACCAAAATACTTCATGCTTCAGTGACTTTAAGGATATCATTTAGGTCCATTTCAGCTCAGTCAAAAAGGTATTTTAAAAAAATTGCAGCAATACCAACTACATGTATTTGCATGTTCAACATGTATCAAAATCTTGAAGTTCATGAGTCATAGGTCCTTGTTGAAGGCCCTTCGATGGACATTCATTATTTAAAAATCTTTTTTACTCAAACTTTTTCAGACAAACTTGATGTATCACAATAATAAATAGGTAGTTCCCTCTTTCAGAATTGTGAACGTTACATAGTTTTGGGTTGGAGCAGTAAATCATATACAGTTAAACTTCAGTATGATGGGTACTGATATGTGGAATACTCTAGATATGTCAGAGTGATTTGGAAGTCCCAATAGCTTTTTTTCTGTATGTATTTTAAGGTCAAGTTCTCGAATCCTCAAAGTTTTTTTCTCAGCCCCATAGAGTTCAAGTTAATAAGGTTTGACTGTATAGCCAATTATGTCATGCTGTACTAGGGTGACCATTTAAGCACTTGAGCCTTTTGTAATGGTTAGGATGCAATCCAGAATTGCTTATCTCTGTATGCTTTGTTCCATGCAGGATTTCAAAGACCCCATGTTAAGACCATACCCAAGTATGGGAGTGGGGAGGGCATAGGTCCTCTTAGGAAAACTAAAGTTCTTTCAGATTTATCACTTCATGAATAAATTAAACTGTTTTATGTTCCCTTTTTTATGTTTTTTTATTGTTGATCATGATTATCTGTTGTTATAGAAGTTAAGAGAGAGTTATCTACCTTTGTCTTATCTTCAATATTTGAAGTCAAGAATAGTTAGGATATGTGTGGAAAGAATGTGAACAAGGATCTGCAAAGGACTCAGATTTTTCATATGCAGTATAGTCTTGTCCATGATGTAATTATTATATCTATATATTTACCTTTCATTTCAGTTTAATTTAAAATGTCTGTCTAAACATTGTATTTGTGCTTAGATGAAGTTGTATGAGTGTAGTATGTTTAGAACTAAATATTATTACTGCTTGTGTGCAACAAAAACAGGACTTTGGGCTGAATTTGGTGCATTCTATCTACATTTTTTATAATCTCCAAAGAAGTAGAAAATTCTTATATAAGCCCACCTTCAAGACTGGTTGTTTAATTAAGTGTATGTCAGCAAAGCATTCAAATGATACAAATAACATTTCATTGATAATTCTGTTGCTAAGAAGAATGTGTTCTTTCCTTACAAAGTCTTAATATAAACCTTTTTGAAACCTTGAGCTTGATTTTTTGGAAAGCTTACTTGATGCGGTTATATGGAAATGTTGTATGTGATTTGTTAAAAAACTTTTATCTCTCCACCTTTAGTCTTATTCCTTTTTGAATCCCAGGAACGACATTAAATTGAGACAATGCTGAGAGTAATTCTTCAAAATTGAGGCATCGTTTGGAGTAAATCTTAAAAATTGAGGCAATTTTGAGAGTAATTCTTGAAAATTGAGGCAATGTGTTTGTGTGTGTGGGGGGGGGGGGGGATAATTCAAAGTCCACTTAGTGGGAGAATATTCCTACAAGTCAGAGTCTTGGTTACTGTCCATACACTCCATATACGGGTATACCTCACTGGAGAAGGCATCCCAGGTGCAGCTAGGTTTTTTATAGAGCAATTCCATTCCCAAGTACCGGTAGCTGTAAACACTTTCACGGATGATGCATCATAGAATGCATACAATCACAAAAGCTTAGAATGCTATATCAACTTTATAGTCAGATGATTGACAATGTGGAGGTCTTTACTGACGTAATTTTAAGTCTTAATTTGATTTAACATCTAGGTAAATGCTACCATATTTGCTTTGGATGCTATTTAAGAACTTTTTGATATGTGACAAGGTTCTCTAGATTCAGATTCATCTGTGGTAATGAAAACTACTCCAGACTTGCCTAGATGATACAGATGCAACTGTTTGCCTCATGCTGTATATTCCAAATGTTTAAGTGAAACAGTAGCCTGTAAAGGATCTCCTTGAATGTGTATTTGTTAAAATACTTATGTGGGTGGGTTATCAATGATATCTTTTGGAACCCTTGAATATTAATATTTAAGCTGTATCGAACCTGAAAGGGCTTTTCCACTGAATATATATTGACTGTGAACATTTTTAATGCAACCACTACAGTGGACTATTCTAATTATCAATTTTTAAGTTCTAAAATGAATGGTACTGCTAGCTTTACCAAAATACAAGATGTGTTTGTTAAACACTGATGCCCCTGTATTGCAAATTATGGCAAAGAAATGCAAGTCAAACGCCAAGGGCCAAAAGATCAAAATTGTTGGTACGCAAAGAAAGGTCTTGTCACAAGGAATACATTTGTGAACTATGAAAGTCCTAGAACCAACCGTTCAATAGTTATGGCCAAGGTTTATTTTTTTCAAAAGCAGGTCAAGGTCAAGGGGTCAATAGTGTTGATACATAAGGGAAGTACTTGTCACAAGGAATACTCATGTGATATACGAAAGCCCTAGCACCAACCGTTCAAAAGTTATGGCAAAGGTTATCGTTTTTCAAAAGAAGGTCAAACTCCAAAGTCAAGAGATCAAAATTGTTGGTACTCAAGGGAAGGTCTTGTCACAAGGAATACACTTGTCAAGTATAAAAGCCCAAGCACCAACCGTTCAAAAATTGTGGCCAAGGTTGATGATATTTTGCAAAAGTTAGTCAAACTCCAAGGTCAAGAGGTTAAAAATGTTGGTACCCAAAAGAAAGGTCTTGTCACAAGGAATACACATGTGAAATATGAAAGTCATAACTCCAACCAAAGAAAAGTTATGGGCAAGGGTAAAGTTTTTGCGGACAAACAGATAAACAGACAGAAACTATTACCCCCAATCTTTTACGAGGGCATAAAAAAGAAAAGACAAATCTGATTATTCCTCCTACAGTTTCTGATTTCAGTAAAAGCACAAGTTATATATTATATGCTCTGCGTAGGAGCAAGTCCATTCCCAAGTAACTATAAGCCCTACCTGGACCAAACTTGCATAGATGATGTATCTAGGTATGGACACTACCAGACTTGCTTTGGTTGGTAGATCTGACCTACATTTTCCAGATGGTGACCATGTTAAAGTTTTTGGAGCAGGTCCATTCCCAAGTAACAATAAGCTCTACCTGCATGGATGATGCATCTAGGGATGGACACTACCCAACCTGCTTTGGATGCTGGATCTGACCCATTTTTTCCAGATGAGTGAATTTTAGCCATTCTTTAACCAAATTAGCATGAGTGATGTTTCTAGGGATGGACACTTCCAGACTTGCTTCAGATGCTGAATCTGACCTACATTTTCCAGATGAGTGACCAGGGTAGTGTTTTTGGAAGTATCTTTTTAATTATATGGCTTGATATGATTAAACTTGCATGGATGATGCATCTAAGGATGGACACTTCTAGACTTGCTTCGGATGTTGGAACTGACCAACATTTCTTGATTAGTGAACAGGTCAGAGTTTTTAGAGCAGGTCCATTTCCAAGTAACTATAAGTTGTAATTAAACAAAACTTGCATGGATATTGATATTGTGAGATTTCTCTTACTTATAAATAACTTTCGTTGAGGTAAACTTTGTAATCTTTGATTACCTATGTTTTTGAATTTCCATATGGAATACGTTGTAAATGTGTAATAAAAGAATAATTTGTGAAAGAAGACCATCGCTTATCCATTTCTGGATATTAATTAAAGCCCAAATCAAATCAAAACTGTTTTAACCATTATTGGACGCAGTTACAGTAGTTCAATTAAAATTATGCGTTTCTTTTCCTTTCAATACATTCCATAGACATTTTAAATGCAAACCAAGTCTGAAACATCCTACCAAACAACCTGTTGTATTAATATTTAGAGTTGGATGTAAGTGAAGATTAGCAATGCAATCTACAACGTATCTTTTTTTTTTTTTTTTTTTTTTGGTTTAAAGTAGCAAACAGGGTTATTGAAGAGTGCATAAAATATGCTTCGATTATTCATCCATCAGCAAGACTGTTATAGCCACCAAGTACTAGTATCACGGCTTGGAACTCATAGTTTTTCCGTTCTTTCTCTTCTTATCTGTTTAGCCGTCCAATTTTTCGTTAAGTCCAATGCTGGTCAAACAGTTGAAGATTTTAACATCCATGGAATATTTTCTACTTAATTTTTGTGGGAAAAGGATTGTTTTTGCTATTTGAAGCAATAAAAGCAATTTCCGGATAATGAAGCCATCTGTATGAAAGATTTTTTTCAAAGAAATGTCAAAGGTTGCAACTAATAATCCCCATATAAACAAACACGGGAAGCATTTTGGTGACCATCATTTTATTGTGTAAATATTGGTAAACATAATTATTTAATTGTTGTGAAATGTGATATTAACCTTTCCAATGATCTTGACCTGGCCTTTCAGTAATCTTGATTACTGTTGGAATTCCTTCAAACAACATCATACAGATGCACCCTGGTAAAAGCATTACAGCTTTGTCAAGAGCTTTATGACCTTGACCTTTCATTTGACCTTCTTTCGAAAGACTTATCTGTTTGATGATACTATATAAACCGAGGTTCCATGTAAGTGCTGACGCGAAAAAGATCCCTCCATGCTCAAAGGCCATTATAAGTGCCGAGTACAGGTCTGAATTTGCACCGGCAAGTGGTGGCGTCTCAATACGAGAGAAAAATTCTCGTTAAACAAACAAACAAACAAATCATCTGTTGTCTCACCTGAGCTGAAAGCGCAAGTGAACTTTTCTGATCAGCCTGTCTCCATCTACCTAGCTGTCGGTCCGTCTGAAAAGTTTTCACATTTTTGACTTCTCAAGAACCACCGGGCCAAATTTACCAATAGCTGGCACAAAGCATCCTTGGGTAAAGGGGGTTTTAATTTGTTCAAATTAAGGTCTAAGCCCTATTACAAGGGGATATAATCAAGAAAGGGCAAAAATAGGGTGGGGCAAGGGGAGATAATCAAGAAAAGGCAAAAAGGGTGGGGTCATTAAAAAAACTTCTTCTTTAATAAGAACCACTGGGCCAGAAGAGATGAAACTAATGTGAAAGCTTCCTGGGGTAATGTAGATTTTAAATTTTACAAATCATGGCTCCCGGGGTAGGATTGGGCCAGAATATTGGATCACATTTTTTACATTGAAAAACAAAGGGGGAAAAATTAAAAATCCTCCTTCTCAAGAACTAATCAAAAAGAAGAAATTGTTGTTGACTGATATCGGCTTTTGGTCTTAAAATTAAACAAAAGACCTAAATATTTAAATTCATTCACAATTTCTCAACATTGTTGTAGAACCAAGATTCATTGTTACGTAATTTACCACCACTTCTAAAGACAACAACCTTAGTTTTTGTTACATTAACAAAGACTCCTTTCTTCAGTATAACCGCATAGTGTATTTAACATTCCTTGTAAGCCTTCTGGAGATGAGGCAAAAATAACCATGTCGTATGAATAAGTTTATCATCTGCAATTGATATAGAGGAAGTTATCTGATATAAAACCTACCTCGAAATCATTCACATATAATGAAAATAATATCGGTGATAATGTTTCTCCTTGCATTATACCAACATCGTTGCGGAAGTGGTCACCGACATAGCCGTTGTATTTAACACAACTTTTTAACATTATTGTATAAGAACTTAATCATAATTAACATTTCACCTTGAATGCCTAAATAAAATGATGTATGCCATAATTTTATTCTATCAACAGAATCAAAATCTTTTTAGAAGTATATAAAATAACAATGTTATCTTTTCTTAACAGAGAGGTAATATTTATAAGCGATTGCAAACAAAAATAGCTTCAACAGCTGACAGTCCCTTGCGAAACCCGAACTGTGTGCATTAGTCAATATATCATAGGAATGTTCCCATTATAATATCCTTATCTCGGAGTCTAACTCATCGTACACAGCATCTTTCATAAAACATTCTATTTTAAAGGATTTTTATCACGTCTCAAAATTTTTTTGATATGACAAAGTTAACATGATACTAAAATCATATATTTAAAAATCTTTGCTAGAAAATTAATATTTTTGATGTTTCAGCGATTCAAAGTTTGAATTTCTCAGCGTTAGAACCAAGATTTTTAAAATGAATAAAGAAATCTAAAGATAAGTTACAATCAACATGATTTGTCTTTTTTGTTTTGAATAGTTTAAAGAATTGTTTTGGTTTCTTTTTTTTTCAAAAATGTTAGCATATTGCCCTCATGGCGTTTGCACTGTCGTTTAAGTTTGTATTCAAGATTTTTGTAGGAAAATTTTGCGGTTGAAAGAACTTCTCTATTTTCTGGTGTTTTGTT